TAGCAGGGGGCTGTGGGTCGGGAGTGAGGGGCACCAGGGGTTTGGGAGCCAGGGCTGGGGTAGCAGGGGGCTGTGGGTCGGGAGTGAGGGGCACCGGGGGTTTGGGGGCCAAGGCTGGGGTAGCAGGGGGCTGTGGGTCAGGAGTGAGGGGCACCAGGGGTGGGGGCCAGGGCTGGGGTAGCAGGGGGCTGTGGGTCGGGAGTGAGGGGCACCGGGGTGGGGGCTGGGGCCGGGGTAGCAGGGGGCTGTGGGTCGGGAGTGAGGGGCAACAGCAGAGCTCAGAGCTGGGCAGGCGGGAGGCCACAGGGATGGGCTCTCTGACCTTGGCCATGGTGGGGGCGGGTTTCAAGGCAGCAGAAAGTTTAGCCAGTGGGCTCAGTGCTGGGGGGCACCTCCCAGGAGCCCAGATGGGCCGGGCTCAGCTCGGCCCTGCCAGCGAACAGCCCCATGGAACCTCCCAGCCCCCGCCTCCCCAAGACAGATGGGGGGCTGCTGCGAAGGGGCCATGACCTCCCCTAGACCACCCCCCCGGAGAGGAGGAAACAGCAGCGATCGGGCTCCTGCCTACCTGGGCACTGGGGGCAGCACCCGCCGGGCACCAGGATGGGCTCCGCGCAGAGCAGGGGTGGGCAGCGCCGTGACAGACACTGAACATTGCCGTTCTGCAGGGGAGAGATGCAGGTCAGAGCCAGCCAGGCACCACCGGGGAGAGAACCCAGGAGTCCTGCCTCCCAGCCCCCACCCCACACCGTGCCCCAGCACAGCATCCCACCCATCCCGTGCCCCCTGCTCCAGACTGTGCCCCCAGCACCGGGCCTCCGCCCACCAGCCCAGCCCTCAACTCCACCCCTCTCCCCCTGCCTGCTCAGCACAGCATGAAAACCACCATCCGCTGCGACACCTCGGCCCCCAGTGTGGCAGGGACGGGGTTAAATGGGCCCCTCCCTCGGGGGCCGTGGATCAGCCACTGGACTGGAGACCAGGACACCTGGGTTCTATTCTCAGCTCTGCCATGCTTGCCTGCTCTGTGCCTCAGTTTCCCCACTTGTAACGCGGGGAGTGAGCAGAGCGGGGCCGGCCAGGGTGCTGGCTGCCCGATCGGTCCCCATGCCACAGGCTAACGAGAAGCGACCGGCCCAGGTTCCCCCAGCAAGGCAGCAGCAGAGCCTGGGCTGGGACCCAGGTGTCCGGTGGGTCACGGTGAGCTGTCCTCGGGCCGGGCCCCCCGCTCGCCCCCGGGCACTTACGAGGCAGTGGCATTGCTTGCAGCGGTCCGTGGGGTGTGGGAACTCGGCGCCGTTGGGGTACTCCTTCCCCCCGTAGCTGCAGCCTAGGGCAGAGCGAGTGGGGACCCGGGGGGTTAACGGGGGGCACCCCGCCTCTGCAATGCATGCTGGGAGGATGGGGCGGAGGGCGAGGGCCCCTGAGGTGCCAGCCCAGACTCCGTCCAGTGGGTCTGTGCCCAGTGCAGCAGTGCCCGATCTGCCCCCTGCCCAGGCAGAGCCATGTCCACTGGGGCTGGAGAAACTGGCCTGGTGGGGTCCCCCGTGCTCGGGGTGGGGGGGATGGCCCAGTGGCCCCCGTGGGCGGGGGATTGGGGGGGGGGACTAGCCCGTGGCCCCCGGGCTCGGCGGGCAGGGGATTGGGGTGGGGACTGGCCCGTGGCCCCCGTGGGCAGGGGGTCGGGGTGTGTGTGGGGGGACTGGCCCGAGGCCCCCGCAGGCAGAGGATTGAGGGTCAGGGGGTCAGGGTGTGTGTGGGGGGACTGGCCCGAGGCCCCCGCGGGCCAGGGGTCGGGGTGCGGGACCCCCTCACCGTTGCAGTTGTTCTGGCAGCAGGAGCCGGGCAGGGGGCGGGCGCACAGGGCACCAGGGCAGTCGCGGGAGGAGCAGCGGACGACCCCGTCGGTGCAGATGCACAGCTGGCAGGGGTCCCGCGGGCTGGGGAACCGCTCGCCCGCCGCCACCGCAGCCCCCTCCACGCTGCAGCCTGGGGAGGGGGGGGGCAGACGTCAGCAACCAACGACCCTCACCCTGTCCTGCCCCCTCCCATCCTGCCCCCCGGGCTGGGATCAGGCAGCTGCTCGGTGTGACGGGGCCTCAGGCTCAGCCCCCCAGGGTTGGCTCCCTCACCCCAGCCCCCCCCCACCGTTTGCAGCCCCCCGCAGAGGTGCTGGTGCCTCCCGTGCCCCCCAGGGAGCTCCGAGGGGGCCGCCAGCCCCGTGCCCCTCCCCCCAGCCCCGCACGTTTGCACTAGGGCAGTGCCCTGGGGTCACAGTGCCCTCTGGTGGCCACTCGCTGCCTCTGCAAGGGGCAGCCGAGTCCCCTGGGGAACCAGGCTCTCTGGGGGCGTGGGGGGTGTGGAGGGGGGAGCTCAGCGCCATCTCCCCGTTTGGGGCTGGGTCTCACCAGCAGAGCTGGGTAGGGAACCCAGGAGTGCCCAGCCCCTCAGCGGCCCACTCACCCGGACATGTGGGGCAGCACTGGCCGGGCTGCCTCTCCGGGCGGTGGCAGCTGGTCGGGGGGCAGGCGACGGGCGAGCACTGCACGGTCCCGGCCTGTGGGCAGGGGACCAGGTCATGGCAGCTCCCGAGAGCCTCCCCCAGCCCACCCCACGGGGCCCCCAGGGCCCCCCCGCCGCTCTGCCCCCGACCCCAGAGCCCCCCAGGGCCTGCGCTCCCAGCCTCCCCCGACCCACCCCGTGGGGCCCCCAGTGCCCCCCCCGCTCTGCCCCCGACCCCAGAGCCCCCCAGGGCCTACGCTCCCAGCCTCCCCCGACCCACCCCGTGGGGCCCCCAGTGCCCCCCCCGCTCTGCCCCCGACCCCGGATCCCCCCAGGGCCTGCGCTCCCAGCCTCCCCCGACACACCCCGTGGGGCCCCCGGCTGAGCATGGCTCAGACCCCCCCATTAGCTCCAGCCCCCCGCTGGGCTCCGTACCCTAGGCACAGGTACCCTTCGGGGGAGCATGGGGGCATGGGGCTGCAGCCTGGCACTGGGGGGTCTGTGCCTGCGGCCAGCGGGGAGGGGCTGCTCCAGGGGCCGGCCCCCTCACCATGCACTGGCAGCGCTGGCAAGGGCTGTGTGGGTCGGCGAAGGCCTGCCCGTTGGCGTAGACGTGCTGGTGGTAGGAGCACTGGGCACAGGTCGGGCAGCAGTCTCCTGGCCGAGGAGAGACAGGCGGGTTAGCACAGTGGGGTGCCCCGATCCCACCCGCCCCACGGCCTGGTCCCAGGGCAGGCGGGGGCTGGGCCAGCAGGAGGCGCTGAGGGGTCGCTCCCAGCCACTGCCTGGCCGGCTCTACGGGCTGGACCCACAGCACCCAGTGTCTGCCATGGGCCCAGTGCCACCAGACCCCCGGAGCTCAGGGGTGCGGAGCCAGGGCCGGGGGGCGGGGGGGCATGGACTGTACCGGGCACTGAGCAGCCACCTCTGCATTGGGGGGGACTAGAGAACTGAGGGGGTGGGGCCAGGTGGGCACCCACCATTGAGCTGGGTGGAGTAGGGGGCAGTGGAGGATGGGGACAGTGCGGGGAGGGCAATGGGGGGCAGGGGCACTCTACAAGGAGTGGGTGGGTAGCAGGAGGCAGTGGCGGGAGGGGCACTCACCGCTCAGCCGGACGGGAGCCGGGGGGGTTCAGGGGGGGGGAGGGAGGGAGCAGGGGGCAGTGTGTGTGGGGTGGTCAGTGAGGGGGGGCACTCACCGCTCAGCCGGGCGGGAGCAGGGGGGTTCAGTGGGGGGAGCGGGGAAGCAAGGGTCAGTTGGGGGGCACTCACCGCTCAGCCGGGCGGGGTGCTGGCAGGCGACGGGTGGGCACGGCAGGGCCCCGCAGACAGGCTCTCCGGCGAGGCAGGTACAGGTGGTGCAGGGGTCCCCGTCCGGCTCCCACTGCGCCCCCTCCTCGAACTCCTCCCCGGCCAGCACGCACACTGGGACAGGCAGGCCGTGAGGGGGGGCCTCCCTGCCGCAGCCCCCAGGGACCCAGCCGGCTCACCCCTCCCTGGCCCCTCCTTCCCCCCCAGCCCTTCCAGTCTCAGCCCCCCAGCTTCCCCCGGCCCTCCCAGGCCCCCACCACGACCCTGTGCTCCTGCCCCACCCCCCAGGGCCCTGTGCTCCCGGCCCCCACAGGGCCCTGCCCTATGGTCCCGCCCCCCGGGTCCTGCGCTCCCAGCTCCCCCCCTCCCCCCGGGCCCTGCCCTCCTGGCCCCCTGGGCCCTGCTCTCGGGGAGCGAGGAGACTTCCCCACCAGGCCCAGAGGTGCAGCAGCCGGGGGCTGCCCCAGGGCTGGTGAGCCCAGGCAATGCCTGCGGGCTGGCAGCACCCAGCGGCCTGCCTTGGCAATGTCCCCTGGCCCACGCAGGGGGCAGCGGTGCTGCCCCGTGGGCACCGTCAGGCCGGGGCTGGCCCAGAACAGGGCGTTACTCGACCTTTGCAGACGGGGCAGCAGCGTTGGGGGTCCCGGATGGGCTGGACGCAGGGCACGGGGGGGCACCCCTCTTCCTGGCACTGCACGTGCCCAGCCTGCATGAGAGAGCCGGGGTCAGCGGTGCGCGGGCACAGACCCGGGCATGCCAGTGTCCCCACACAGCCCAGCCATGGCACCCCTCAGCGGGTCTGCCCCTGCCCCAGGGCTGCCCACGCCCCCCTCAGCCCCAGAGCCGCCCTCCCCTAGCCCAGCACCCCTCTGCCCTAGCTTGGTGCCAGGGACCCACATCCCCTGCTCTCTGTGCCCGTGTGGCTGGGCACCCCCTGGCACCAGGAGGGGCTGGTTACGTGGAGGTGAGCCCCCCCACCCCCCCAAACCCACCGTCCCAGGAGTCCCCTGGGTCACTCACCGAGCAGGTGCACCGCACGCAGGGCCCGCGGCCCGGGGGCGTGAAGGTCTCTCCGTGCCGGTACGGGTGCCCCTCGTACTCACACGCTGCCCGCGGAGAGAGACGGGTGAACAGCCCCGCATGGGGGGCAGCCTGCCAGCCCCAGCCGAACCCCCGGAGACCCCCAGGCTGGCTCAGAGACCCCAGAGCTCCCCCCAGCTCTGATACCCCAGAGCCCCCAGAGGGTCGCCTCTGCCCCCGCCCCCCCCCCCCCCCCCCCTGCCCACTCAGAGACCCCAGCACCCCCAGAGACCCCCCTGCCCACTCAGAGCCCCCAGCTCCTCAGAGCCCCCCCAACAGCTTAGAGACCCCAGTGCCCTCAGACCCCCGCCCCCCGGGGTCTGGATGGGCTGGGCCCCGTGGCCCCCTTCCCAGCGCAGCCGGGCGGGATGGGCACAGGGAAGCGCCAGCAGGAGGGACGCCCAGAGGGCAGGTGCTGGGACACCTGGGCCAGACGCAGAGGGGCACACAGCTCCCCTCGCCAGGCGTGGCCCCCGATGTGGGCCCTCCCCCGACCCCCTCAGGCCCCGCTGGAGGCTGGCCCAACCCGTAACCTGGGGGGTTCTTGGGCCCCGCGCCGGGGGATGGGGGAGGAGCTGGCTCTGTGGGAAGCCCTGGGGGTCCCCTCCCCCCCCATGCCCTGCTGCCAGGGCCAGGGTCTCTCTCTGAGGCCAGCGGCACCAGAGGCCCCTTGCTGGCCCTCCCCCGCCCCACCAGCTACTCACTGTGGCAGGCCGGGCAGCACTGGCCCTGGGCGGTGCCCGGGTGGCTGCAGGGCGCGGGTGGGCAGCTCTGCTCCAGGCGCTCACACGACACCTCCCCGGCCTGCGGGCAGGGGCCAGAGCTCAGCCAGGCGTTGGCAAGAGGCCCCCGCTCCCGCCCCCGGCACAGAGCCTCCGCCAGCGCACCACGGCCCCATGCCCAGCCACCCGGCCCTCCCGCAGCCAGTGCCTGCCTCACAGCCAGTGCCCCTGGCCCCCCTTCAAGCCAGTGCCCCCCCCCCCCGCCCGGGCCCCCCCCCCCCCCCCGCCAGTGTCCCGGCCCCCCCCGCAGCCTTGGGGAGGGGCTGTGCCGTCCCGGGGCACCGTGGCCTGTGGGGACGGGAGCTGGCCCAGGCTTCGCAGGGCCGGGGGTGGCCCATGGAGAGGGCTCCTGGGGGCACCTGCCCTGTGCCCGGCTCACCTGGCAGCGGCAGCGGAGGCAGGGCTCCTGCGGGGGGGGTGAAGACGGCGCCGTGCGGGACGGGCTGGGCGTCGTAGAGGCAGTCCTGGCACCTAGGGCGAGGCGAGCGATGGCAGAGCAGTTCGGGCACCCCGGCCCTGGCACCACGACAGTGAGGCAGCGACGCCACAGGCGCCCCCAAGCCCCACTGCAAACAGCACCCCCTGGACTCCCCAGCCCTCCCCTCACCTGGCTACCTGCCCCCAGCCCCCCATTCATTCCAGGCCGTGTGCCCCCCTCCCCGCCCCCAAGCCCCCCCTCCCCCAGCCCCACTCCCCCGCGGGCCGCGCCCCCCCCCCAGCCCCACTCCCCCGCGGGCAGCGCCCCTCCCCCAGCCCCACTCACCGCGGGCAACACTCGCCAGGTCTCCGGACGGGCTCCGAGCAGGGGGCAGCCGGGCAGCCGGTGGGTTTGCACAACACATTCCCGCTCTGCACGACACATGTGCCCCCCACTTTACCAGACGCTGCCCCAGCCTGCCCCCCCCCCCCCCCCCCCCCCCCCCCAGCCCCCCTGCTGAGCAGACAGGCAGTGCCAGGCGCCCCCGGCCTGCACACTCACCACGCAGGCGCACTGGGTGCAGGGCTCCCCGCTGGGCACCGGCTCCCCGCTGGCAAACTCCCGGCCGTCCAGCGAGCAGCCTGCAGGGAGAGAGAGCGGTACAGCTTGAGGGTGCCCCCCCAGTCCCCTGTCCCGTCCCCCCCCGGGACAGCCACAGTCCTCAGAACTGTCCCCCTGGCAGGGTGGGATGGGCACCCAGGGGGCCTCCTCCTCAGGGCACTGGGCCGGCCCCGCGGCCAGGGCACGCAGCAAGTTTGCTGGGCCTCAGCCCAGTGCTCACCTCACCCCCCCGCCCCGCTTGGCACCAGCCAGGCCCCCACGCAGGGACCACGGAGCCCACACCCCTCAGGGGCCCCCAGGGCTGGGAGGGGAGCACTGGCCCTGGCATTACCTGGCCTGGGCCCAACAGGACCAGCGGCTCCAGGGCCCTCACCCAAGGGAGCCATCCAACAATGGGGGGGGGGCAGCCCCCAACGGCCCTGTGGGACAGACCCACTTCCCCATCGACCCTGCCCCGCCCCCCACGCCCCAGGGAGCACAGCCCGCCCCCCATGAGGAGCCCCTCCCCTTGCTCACCGTCGCAGACGGGGCAGCAGGTGCCCGGCCGGGGGCTGGCAGGGTGGCGGCACAGCCTGGCGCATTGCCTCTTCCTGCACATGGTGCGGCCATCCTGTGCGGGGCGAGGGGGGGGGTCAGGGCTTCCGGGGGCCGCTCGCGGGGCAGCAGCTCCCAGCCCGGGGCGTTCCCGCCCCACCCAGACCCCCAGACAGACCCAGGGCCCCCTGGAAAGGGTCCAGCCAAATAATGGGAGGGGCGGAGCCTGTGCCAGGCTGGGGGCGGAGCCTGGGAATAAAGCGCTGCCCTGAGGAGCGGGGGGCACAGGCGGGGGGCGCCTCAGGCCTGGGGCCAGTGGGAATGGAGGCCCCCAGGCCCTGCCCAGCTACACGGGGGGGCGTGGCCTTACCAAGCACCGGCAGCTCTGGCAGGGGTCTGCATGCGGCGCCCACTCCTCACCGTGCTCCCGCCGGGCGGCTCCATCCACACAGCCTGGGTGGGAGAGAACCAGCATCAACCAGGCCCCCGGCCCCCCAGCCATCGCAGAGCCCAGACCGCAGCTAGCGAGGGCAGGGAGAGCGGGGCTGCAAATCGGGAGTGAGGGGCACCGGCAGAGCTGCACGTGGGAGCCCAGGACGGGGATAGCAGGAGGGCTGCGGGTTGGGAGTGAGGGGCACCAGCAGGGCGGCGGAGCCCAGGGCTGGAATAGCAGGGGCTGCAGGTCGGGAGTGTCACGTTATTGACATGAACTGGGACCGTAGAGATCATTGTTGCAACCAAAGTCCTGTAGTGGCACCAAATCTTGTATGAAGGGGGTCAAATGAGGTGTCTAAGACAAGGTTATGGGTTGCTGGTTATGATTATGCTGTCTGTATGCATGTGTCAATTTTGTAGCTGAAGTTATGAATATTGGCTCTATACTGTCTGTACCTCAAACTGGTGCTGTGCTTCTGGGTGACACCCCAGACAAGTTGGTGTTAGCTCTGCCTAGCCTGCTTGATGGCCCATTAAGGACCATCAGCTATACAATTGCCCCATTGAGAGAAGGCAGATACGCCTTGTAACTCAGCAAAGTATGCAGGGACTGGCCCATGTGACTCCAGACTCCATTTTGCTGTGATTTTCCACAGTAAGAACAAAGAGGTGTTCTTACACCTGGAAGAGACTATAAAAGCCTGATGCCTCACCTCCATTTTGTCTTCAATCCTGCTTCTTACTTCTGGAAGGACTTTGCTACAAACTGAAGCTCTGAACAAAGGACTGAGGACCCATCCCAATTGGGGACGTCTGAACCTGCAGTTTATTCTATCACTGCTACAAGCCTGAACCAAGAACTTTGCCATTACTGTACGGAATTGATTCCATTTCACCAATTCTAGCTCTCATCTGTATTACTTTCTTTTTATAAATAAACTTTTAGATTCTAGATTCTAAAGGATTGGCAACGACGTGATTTGTGGGTAAGATCTGACTTGTATATTGACCTGGGTCTGGGGCTTGGTCCGTGGGGATCAGGAGAACCTTTCTTCTTTTACTGGGGTATTGGTTTTCATAACCATTCGTCCCCATAAGGAGCGGTGCTGGTGGTGATACTGGGAAACTGAAGTGTCTAAGGGAATTGCTTGTGTGACTTGTGGTTAGCCAGTGGGGTGAGACCGAAGTCCTCTTTATCTGGCTGATTTGGTTTGCCTTAGAGGTGAAAAACCCCAGCCTAGGGCTGTAACTGCCCTGTTTTAAGCAATCTGTCCTGAACTGGCACTCTCAGTTGGGTCCCGCCAGAAACAGCATCGTTACAGGGAGTGAGGGGCACCGGGAGGGCGGGGTGGGGGGAGCCCAGGACAGGGCTAGCAGGGGGGTTGCGGGTTGGGAGTGAGGGGCAGGGCTGGGGGGTCTCTCTGCAGTGGAAGGTTCTCGTCCCCTTTTAAAAGGGCCTGACCATGTCCACCCCAGCACCCACCTCCCCCCCTTCCCCACTCCCCACACCTCACCTCCCCCCACTCCCCTTGCAGTGCAGTGCCCCCCCCCCCAGCACTGGGCTCACCCTGGCAGCGGGGGCAGCAGGCCCCGGGCACCTCCTCCTGGGTGGCGCAGTGGAGCTGCGGGCAGACGAGTCGGAAGCACTGGACGTTCCCGTCCTGGGCAGGAGAGACACAGCCGGTGTCCCAACCCCACCCCGTCCCGATCCCGTCCCCTGGGGGGGGTCCCGTCCTGATCCCGTCCCCTGGGGAGGTCCTATCCTGTCCCGTGGGGGGGATCCAGCCCCACCCTGTCCGCTGGGGGGGGTCCCGTCCCGATCCCGTCCCCTGGGGGGATCCTGGCCCTACGGGACTCTCTTGGGGGCTAAGGACGCCAGAGACACAGGCCCTGGAGGATCAGGATACAGGGTGGCGAGGCTGCATGGCCACCCTGGCGGGAGGGCGGGACCCCTGGGGGCCTGGCCCACTGAGGGGCCCCTCCGAGGGGCTGTTCTGGATTTGGGGGGGGGGCCCAACCCTGGGGACCCCAGCTCTGCCAGTGCCCCTCACTCCCAACCCGCAGCCCCCTGTTAGCCCTGCCCCGGGCTCCCCTCACCCAGCTTGCTGGTGCCCCTCAGGCCTGACCCATAGCCCTTGTGACCCCCGCCCTGGCCCCCCTTCCTCTGCCCTCCCCGGAGCGCAGGGTCTCACCAGGCAGGAGCAGTTCATGCAGGAGTTGGATGGCGCCAGGAAGACGTCTCTGTCCTGGTACCGCTGCCCGTCGTACTCACAGCCTGGGCACAGGAGAGCGGGCGGGTGACACAGACACCCCCCCCCCCCCCCGGGGCTGCAGGGAGCCAGGGGCTTGGCAGGGGGCGCTGTGCTGGGGGTAGGGGGCTCAGCAGGGGGCACTATGCTGGGAGGAGCGGGGCGGGGGCTCGGCAGGGGGCACTGTGCTGGGGGGAGTGGGGCGGGGGCTCGGCGGGGGGGCTGGGCGGGGGGGGGGGGGGGGGGGGAAGCGGGGCGGGGGCTCAGTGGGGGGCGCTGGGCAGCCCCGCGCCCACCTCCCAGTGTGACCCGCCCCGGGCAGCCCTGCGCCCTCCTCCCCGTGTGACCTGCGCCCTCCTCCCCGTGTGACCCGCTGTGACGTTATGAGTGTACTATAATATCTCACTGAAAGGTGACAGGGCCAGAAAGAGTTAATTAACTCACAGACTGACCTGACCGATGGCCGAACTTTAAAGACTGGTTAGGAAGATAGGTATATCTCCATATATTAGAAACATATCTCCTAGAACTGGAAAGGACCCCGAAAGGTCATCGAGTCCAGCCCCCTGCCTTCACTAGCAGGACCAAGTACTGATTTTGCCCCAGATCCCTAAGTGGCCCCCTCAAGGATTGAGCTCACAACACTGGGTTTAGCAGGCCAATGCTCAAACCACTGAGCTATCCCTCCCCTAAACGTAAATGAGCAGAGCTTTGAAATGCAGCTGGCAGTGTTAGAGTTCAAAGGGGAGATGTTTGCTCAGGGCTTGTGATGTCAGCAAACAAGTCTTGTCTATTGCTATAGTTTTAATTCAAAGATCAAAAAAGGAATATTAACATTTATGATGATATTTGAGTGAAATAGTATTATTGTCTATGTGTCTCTTTGAAGGTTGTGGTAACCTGTATCTGAACTGTTTAACGGATAAATTACCCTGTGCTAATTGCCAGGATGTTTGGGAGAAGGAGAATTAAAGCCTATTGTTTTCTCAGGCCAAAAGGCTGCAGGAAATGTATAAAAACCCTGGGACACGATCCTGCTGCATCTCAGATCTGCTTTGGGTTTCAAGAGGGAGAAACCCTGAGCCACAAGAATTGAGATCCCCAGTCACTGACTGGAGTCACCCTGAATATGGACATTGGACTCTAACCTCTGGACTATTTCTAAAAGGACTTTTGGCAACTACAAGCTCATCTCTGCTATGTATCTAAACCTCAAGAATTGAATTCAAGTCTGTCTGTATATTGATCTTTTAACCAACACACTCTCTCTTTTCTTTTTTAATAAATTTTAGTTTCGTTAATAAGGATTGGCTATTAGTGTGTATTTTGGGTAAGGTCTAAGTTATAATTGGACCTGGGTATGTGGCTGATCCTTTGGGGTTGGAAGAACCTTTTCTTTTATATGATGAAGTAAGATTGTCAATAATCATCATCATATCTGACAGGTGTGTCTGGACGGAGGCCTGAGGCTGGGCACTTTAAGGGAACTGCGTTGTTTGGACTTCTGAGTAACCAGTGAGGTGCTATAGAAGCTGTTTTGTGCAGGTAAATCTAAGTATTGGAATAACCACCAGCCTTTGGGGTTGGTCTGCCCCGTTTTGTTTGCAGTTCACCCTGATTGAGTGACCTCAGCTGGCTCCCACGGGCAGCACCGTCACACCCGCCCCGCCCACCTCCCCGTGTGACCCGCCCCGGGCAGCCCCTTCCTCCCCGTGTGACCCACCCCGCACAGCCCCGCGCCCACCTTCCCTGCTCACCTACGCACTGGGGCCGGTCCTGGCGCGCCGAGCACTGCACCTCCCCCTGCAGGCAGATGCAGGTGGTGCAGTCATCCTTGTCCCAGGTGGCTCCGTCCTCGCGCTGCGTCCCCTCCCACGCGCATGCCGGCCTCCGGCACTCGCAGCTCTCCAGGGACTTCACGCGGGCCAGCAGCTCCGAGCTCTGCAGGAGAGAGGGGGCGAGCCGGGAGCGCGGGCTGGGGAGCTAGTGGGCAGTGGGGGGGGGGGGGGGGGGGGGGGGGCAGGACTCCTGGGTTCTATCCCAGCTCTGAGAGGGGAGTGGGGTCCAGTGGTTAGAGCAGGGGGCTGGGAGCCTGGACTATCCTGAGTGGGGCCAGGAAGGGGGTGAGAACCACTCATCTAGGTGCTCACAAGCCAATCCTTCCCTACAGGGCCGGCTCCAGGCACCAGCCCACCAAGCTTGTGCTTGGGGCGGCATCTGGAGGGGGGCGGCGCTGCGCTCCGGCCGCCGGGGAGAGCGGGGCCACGGCCGGGCTCGCCACCCTCCCCCCGGCGCTCTGGCCGCCAGGGGTAGAGCGGAGCCCCGGCCGGGGCTCGCCGCCCTGCCCCCTGCACTCTGGCCGGGGCTCGCCGCCCTGCCCCCAGGGCTCTGGCCGCCCCCCCCCCACAAGGGGGGGGGGCGGGCGGCCGGAGGCTTTTTTGCCTGGGGCGGCAAAAAAGCCAGAGCCGACCCTGCTTCCCTAGCGTCCAGGCACCAAAGTCAGGCTGCTGGGTCTCCAATTCCCCAGGTCCTGTTTGTTTCCCTGTCTCAGGACAGGTGCCACGTTTTCCTCTCTCCAGCCCCCGGACCCTCACCCGCTGGCCAGGTCTCAAAGACCATCGCTAGCGGTTCTGGGATTGCTTCGGCTGGTTCCTTAAGCATCTAGGGGTGAATTTCATCAGGCCCTGCCGACTTGAACGCAGCTCACTTCTCTAGACATGCTTCACCCTGGGCCTTGCTTGGCGGGGCCCGCGGTTAATATGACCCGTGTGAAGTATCCGCTCACCACTGACTGCCTTACTGAAGCCAAGTGTGTGTGAAACCTGTCAGCTCCCCTGCCCGGCTCCTTCACCTGGGGCAGTCTGCAGCGGCACCTCTCCTATCGTCTCGGAGGAGCTGCCCGCTCTCCAGAACGCCTTTTCCCCGGAGCTTTTCCTCCCGCTGGGCCGCGCCCCCGGGTCCTACCTGCGCTTTGACCATGTCCAGCATGGCCCCGAATCCATCCACCAGCTCCTCCAGCTGCTGCACCCTCTCCTCCAGGGCGCCCGGGGGGGGGAACTCCGGCTCGCCGGGCTGCTGCTGGTAGTTGCGGATGTCGGCGAGGGCCGGCGGCTCCGGGGCCAGGGGGGATCCTTGATCAAAGGGGGGCTCGGCCAGGTCCCCCTCCTCCGCCAGGGTGTACGGCACGGGGAAGGGGTCTGCAAGGCACCGCAGGCAGGGCGTGAACGGGGGAGTTGGGTCCAATCCCGCCACCCCCCCACCTGGCCTGGCTCGCCCATCCCCATGGAAACCCATGGCTGCCTGGGGGCCGGATACGAGGGGTTTGCTGGGTGGAAGCCTGGGTCCCAGGGAACTCTGTGAACCACCCCCCAACTGGTACCACTTCTCCCGCGGCTCCGCTGATGGCCTGGCACTGCGCTCCCTCCGCACTCGCTCTGGGGCCCAATGACTCCAGGACTCTGGGACCCAGGGGGTACCCAGAGCTGTGGGGAGGGGGGAAAGGATAAATGGGGGCTCCATGTGCCCCAGCCCTCGCTGCTCCCCTGGGGAACCCCTCCCCTACCCGCCGCCCCCCAGACATCTCAAAGCCGGTTCCCCGCAGCCACCAGGGCACCAGTTAGATGGCTGGCGCACAGCACAGCCCTCTGCTGGACGGATGCAGAGCTGCCCTGATGCGTGTCATGGGCTCTAGACTGCTAGGAGTTAGTGGGGATTCCCCTTCCAAAGGAGACCTGCTGCTTGGGAGCCGGGGACCTGCACCTGTACCCGCCAGGAGGCTGGGCAAGGCCCGGGCCAGGGTGGGCAACATCCACGGGGCCTTTGGTGACTGCAGCGGGGACAGGCCGGGTGACGATACAGAGACCTTCCCCAGAGACCTCAGCGGCCGAGCCCACATCACCTCCATGCTGCGGGAGTGGGGGGGGCTGATACATGGGGGCCCCTCCCCACGATACACCCCATCCATGCTCAGCTCACACATGTTATGCACACACATGCCCATCTCCCGAGGGCACCAAATCCCACCCTGCACCCAGCACCCGCCAGCCGAGCCGAGGATGGGCCCAGCACCCAGAGCATAGCCAACAGCTGATTCCCCCTTGCCCAGCAGCCAGTGCCAAGGGCAGCCTGTTGGCCAGCCCCGTACTGGCACCGGCCATGGTAAGCGGCCGGCAGCTGGTTCCAGGCTGGGCTCAGATGGGGGAGGGGGAATGTGCTGCAGATCAGAGGGGCAGGGGAGGATGGGGGGCTGCCCAGGGTTCCCCGGCGCCTGGCCTTGGTGCGGAGGGGCAGCTGGAGCAGTACGCGGCCACCTGGCCCGGGGACAGGAGCACGTGGGCAGCGTTCAGAGCCGGGCCCTGCCCATCTGTCCCACATCCAGCCAGACCCTGAACTCTCCACTCCCCGCCCCCCATGCCCCCCCAGCTCCTCCTTGTCCTCCGGCCCAGGCTCCAGGGGACTGGGCTCTGGCCGGCCTCTATGGCTGGGCGCCCGGTTCCATCCCAGACTGAGTGCCCGGGGGGGGGGGGGGGGGGGGGGGGGGGGGGGGGGGGGGG